CCAACCAAGAAGGCAGCTCTCTTAGAAACAGTCTGTTTCAAACAGGCTGAATTTATATACACTTGAATTCAAGAAAAGAACATATAAAAGCCATCTGTTATCTAATTCTTTCCAATCTATAACTGGCCTTATTCTCAACTTGTTCCAATAATGTCATTTCTGTAAAACATTATTTTCATCATCTTGTGGCTGATTGAGAACCTCTGCATATGTTTCTTAGAGCACTGGTGTCATAAATAGTGATGGAAGTGCTTTCTTCCTTTATGTTAGGGGTTGACAAACTGTTTTGTAAGGGGCCTGATGATACCTACTTTACGCTTTACGGGCCGTATGGTGTTTATTGAAACTACTCGAATCTGCTATTGTAGTATGAAACTAGCCATAGACAATATTTAAATGAATAGGCATGGCTGTATTCCATTAAAACTTTACAAAACTGGTGGAGGGTCAGATTTGGCCCTGAGGCCTTAGTTTGCCAACCTTATTCTATGCCATCAACTGAAGTTGTTGAGACACGTGAAGCTGACTGATAGCTCATTACTCAGTACAATGTGGCTTTCTGTTGAAGGGAAAAAGCAACATGAGTCTAATGTTATGGGAATTCATCTCAACCCACATAGAGAATAGGAAAAATGATTTTGGACTCTGGCCAGAGATGCCATTCTGCCCATTACTGGAAGTATTGATGGGACTTTGTTCTCGGGGATAATGGTTTTAGGGTCCTTCCCTTCAATGGCTTATCCTCCTGTTCTCATGTTTCCACTGGAAGATCTGCTCAACTATCCAGGCTTGGGAAAATATGTCTGTTTCCCATATCCCTTTCCTGATTTCTCTCCAAGTTCAGAAGCAAGCTTATGAGTTGAGACTAGACAGAGGAATAACTTCATGCCTCTCCTCTCCCTTTTTGAGGGTGTTTTGATCAAGGGACAAGCCTGCTGTCCTCCCATTGTCCTTCTCCTTCTAGAAAGCACCTCTGAAGGGGCCTAAGAAAGAGAACCATGATGGATGATGGATCCTTCACCAACCCCAAGGAACAGGCCCACCCTCCTACCTCTAGCAAGTGCTCTTTGTGGTGGTGACTGATGATTCTGTTGTGTGTACCTGGAGTGATGGACCATGCCACACTGTCTTGTCCAGTTGATCTGCATGCACATCAGTATTGATGAGGTGTACCTGGCTTTACTCTCGGGGTCCTAAGTTTCCACTGTCATATCTGGTTGTGAGGCAATGGTTGCCTGGCAAGATATGTCTACGTGACCAGTCCCTACAAAAAGGCCTCAGACCTTGAGACTCAGAAGGGCATCTCCAGGCAGAGACATCCCACACATGTCCTTAAAGTTCATTGCAAGAGAGAAAGGAGCACTCCTGTATGTCCCTGGACAAGGAAGAACACGGAGAAGTCTCTGCTGAACCTTTCTGGACTCTTTCAGTGCAAGTTTTTCCTAATGCCTTCGCTCTGCATTCCTTGTAATAATAAATCTTAGCTATGAGCACAGCCTGCTATGGAGTCTTGAAAGTCCTTCTGGTCAATCACTGAATGAAACACTCTTATAGTTCAATGATTTAAAATTCAGAGAAGAACAGGGATAGGATTTGGATGCAAAATTTAAGGGACTCCAAAAGCTCAGTAATCAAGATAAAAAATATTTTAATGAATATTTGTAGAAGTTAAAAATTAATGCAAACATCCAAAATGAACGAAACAGCAAACATTCAAATAAGGACAGGATTCCACCCTCTACTTCCAATATCCTGTCTCATGTGGTTCCCTGCACTGAAGAGAAGAAGTACGAAAGTAACTATTGCCTGTTGGTTGCTAAAGCTGAGAGCAGCATCTTTAGCAATGCTGCTAGGGTTGCTAAATGGAGCTAAGGGGTTGCTGCACTTCCAACTTTCCCTCCTTCTTAGTTCCTGCCCCCTCCAGTCAATTCATCTCTACCAGTGTATCAGCTGCTTACGGGGTTGAGGCGTAATTCTCCTTAGGGATCTGCACCCTATGAAGCCCTAAAGACCATGAGAGAATTGACTTTCTTTTTCATGCAGAACTCCTCTGTGCCTAACACAATCCTTAACAGGTTCAATATGACTGAGTAGGTAACTACTGAATGCTAGGATGACTTAGATTAAATGGATATTGTAGCTATTCAAAGTGCTTTGAGGTTTCTTATAACCTTTATTATTGTCAAATTTCTATTTATTTATAAATTTTCAGAGCAATCAGTGCATAGATAGATTCTGGGGTTCCAATGGTAGCTATATTTTAGAGTATATACTAAGTCCAGTGCTAAAACACTTTATACACATTATTGCAAATTTTCATAACAATAGACACATGATATAGTCTCTATGCCACAGACAAGGAAATGGAGCATCAAAGTGGCTAAGGCACATTCCTAAGGTCACCCACTAATAAGAGGCAGAGTTGGGGTTCAACTACAGCTGTCTGACTCCAGAGATGGCAAAAACTAGGTGCAGACATTCTTTTGGGGGGTGGGTCAAGCACTGATTTTTATGAACTTGACCAACAAGTGTTTGGGAGGGTGATTCTCCAGGGACAACCCTCTTCCTCACTTCCTTTGTCTTACCTATTGTCCCTGCCTGGCCCTCCAAGACACCGGATTTGTGATCTCTACTTGCTGTTCTGCCCTCTTTCTAGCACACCATTATGCCACCCACTTGGGATTCTCTTCATCTCTGTACCTACTTCAAGAGGGAATGACTTCCATGACCTCAGCTGGAGCCCTGTAGTTCACAAGCATAAGGGTGAGACTTACTCCCACTTAATATGAAAGCTCAGTTCTGAATTATTCACTTGTGAGTAACTAATTTATTAGCATTCATGTACCCACTGCCCATCACTCTAATGAGTGGACTTAAGTGCTTTGGGAAACCATTTTACTTTCATAACAAAGAGTGAAAGATGGAACCAACTTTTGATGGTTTGTCTACATTAAAGCAGTTGGCCAAGACTCGCTAAGTCTTTGTCACTCCGCCTTTCCTCTACTCCACAGACATTCACCAACTTTGGCCTCAAACCAGCTTGATCAACCTAGGGGATCTATCAGTGTGCTGTGGAGGCTTATTGAACACCCTAGGTTTATATGCACATGTGTATTTTTTAAGTGCATCTGTGTATTTTTCTGGAGAGAGAGAATTTATAGTCTTTATAGGATTTTAAGAGGGTCTATAAAACAAATTTATGAAGCACTTAGAATACAGTGTAATATTCTGGTTACAAAATCCAGCCAAGGTTTTGGGTTCCCCATTGGGAAGACACCACAGAAATGTACTTTTTTTTTTTAAACCACAATTAACCTTACTGGGACATGATGTGGTATCCTAGATAAAAATACTCAGGAATACAGCAGGAAGGAACAAGCTCACCCTATTTATTACCTGGAATTTGCTCTGGCTATCCCTTGCCCTAAAACTATGAAAAAATTACAGCTATTTTTTATAGCACATCTTGCCAGATGTTCATCCAACCTCTTCATGAAAAGTTCCAGCACCAGGGAATGCCCATTATACACCAGGGCCTTAGCTCATTATTATATAGCTTCATTTGTTTTACTTTTTTAAAGTTCTATTTTGTTTACATTCTTAGTAGTTTGGAAATACTTAAAATGAGCTAGAATCGAGGGCAAGATAAAATAACCAAACCATTAGAGGATGATGCAGTGTGGGAACGGCAGTTAGGTAATTCCAGGAAACTGTGGATAATGGAGGCTATTGTATTTGAGTTACAAGAGGCAATCCTGAAATTATTGGCAGCCACAGGAAGAGAATACAGGGATTTCTGATCTAATGCAAGGAAGCAGGTCGTATTTTTCAAGGGAGGCCAATATTCTCCTGTGTTCTCTGAGGAATTCTCATAAGGCTTCTTAGTCAATGTATATTTAAAAAGGCATAATGGATGGTGGCTCTTTGCGAGATGTTTCACCAGCAATGTGGACGTTTGTTAAAACAACCTTAATAGAAACTGGATGCTAGTATTTTTTTTTTTTAAGTATTGGAAAGGTAGTACTTAACTGCCTCAGTAAGTCAATTTTCAGTTGTACTGTCCCAGATGAAAGGGAGGAGCATATTTATGGAAGTGATCTCAAAGAAATACATTTAATTTTTCTCTAATCCCAGCAAAACAGCAGATGTCGTTGAAAGTCTTCCTAGTCAATTCTCTTGAGAGAGGAAAGTCACATGAACTGTTTTTTGCCTGGCCTCTCTGAACTTCCTCTGGTTCCACTGATTTTCCTGTGCAGACCACTGTACGATAGAACTCGAGAAGAACCTCAGAGGGATCATGGTCTGACTGTAGCTCTGGATGCCATGGTTGAATTGGGAACCCATCTATATGCTGCTCAGAGACCATATGCTGGGAACTAAATCAAAAGAGATTAAATATTTGCAAAACTGTAATATCTCTGTAATTTGTCTCTGTAATATCTCCTGCCCCCTTTTTTGGTCTTTTTCTTTTGCACTGAAGATTGGTCTTGCTTGTCAAATGGAGCCAGCATTATCAATCTTTTCTGAAGGCTTTCAAATGATGTAGATATAAATTGATATATGTATGACTCTTTCTGTAGATATCACATATCCAAAGTATAGAAATAGACTCTTTTGTATATTGTGACATAAGTGATCTAAAGTTTTTTCTTAAAAAAAACAATAACTCTTATAACCAAGATCCTAAGTTAGTAATATTCAATAGGAAACTTGATTCTCAAGAAAATTTCTTGGGACATGAAGATCCACATTATAGTCACAAGTTTGCTGGATGACTCTGGAATTAGAATATAGGGAGGCAGCCCAGTTTAAAGGATGGTGTCATTAATTCAGTTAACATTTTTTCATTAGCTAACTGGCAGAAAATTTAAATGAGATCCTTAGTGATCCCTAAAATAAGGCATTTTGTTCCATCAGTTCAAAAGGGATCCATGCCCTATAGACACCAGTTCTGAAATAATTGTTTGTAAGAGGTCCTCTCACACAACTAAGGGCTCTTCCACCTCTGGTAAAGCAGGGCCAAACCTTTCCTCAGAAGCGTAACTGTGGATTTTCTCAAGAGCCTAGACACATAAGCAACTGAGAACCCAAAGTTTTGTTTCATAAATGGAGAACAAATTGTTGAGTGGCATCAGCCCTCAAGCAATATTATCTGCAGAAGGCGTGAAACCAGAAAGTTGTTCTAAGCTGGAGACAACTTTCCCTGAGTCGGATCAGTATGAGAACAGAATCAGGAAGGGAGGCAGAGCTGGCAATGGGCTGCAGGGAAATGACAGCAGCATTCATTCATTTGTTCACTCTTTAATCAAACACAAAAACGAGTATTTTTCTATTTAGGAAGGATCTTCTAGATACTGGGGATTCAAATCAGACATGAACTCCTCCAAGTGCTTGGAATAGTCTGAGACAAATATACCAAGTCAAGATCAGAGTCAAATAGAAATGGGCTTGGAGAAGCAGACTGGGTCGTCATTATGGAGACATTTATGTTGCTTGAATACAAGGGTTTAGTCTTGATTCTGCAAGCCATGGAGGGGGAGGAACATCAGATTTTAAATAAAGGAATGACATATGTGGAGCTGTGCAAGGATCTGTTTGGAAAAGGGAGTGGTGGTCCGGTGTGAACCTGGGGGTACAGAGGAGCACTACTGCAATTGTTTGAGGTAACAGCATTTACAGCCAAACCTAGAGGCAGGGATGAAATTACTAAAAGAGAAGAGGTAGAATGGGAAAAAGATGGAACGAAACCTTGGTAAACACTTATTTTTAGGACGGTAGAAACAAAGAAGATAGAGGAGAGCTTGGGAAGGAATTAGGGCTAGAAGTCCAAAGAGGAGGAAGCTTCCAGCATACAAAAGTTGTTTAGCTAATGGTGCTTTTAAAGTCGTTTAGTTAATGGTGTAATCAAGGTATACAAGGCTGAAGAAATGGCTATTTAAATTCAGCGCTGGAAGGTCCTTGGTGACTTTCAAGAGAGTAGATGAGAAATGAGTAGAAAATGAGAATTGGAAGCAATAAATATGTTTTACTATTTCAAGAATTAAACCATAAAGTTAAGGAAAGGAGTCTGACAGGACATCAGATATATTCATTAGAAATGTTTTGGTTGCAGGTGACAGAAAGAGCAATGGAAAGTTTACATCACTGAAGAATCTACGGGGGCAGTTCAGGCTTCAGGCATAGAGTCAGGGCTCAAGCAATGCCATTGGTACCTCCTATCTTGATTGCTTTCCTCTGTATGTTGGCTTCATTTTCAGGTTCTCATGGTGACAAGCTAGCTGTAGCACCTTTAGCCTCCTATCTTTCCAAGTTCGAATCCAGTGAAATTAAAAGAGAAAATTTTAACCTAGCCGCAGGAGCAAAGTCCTAGAATTAGCTCTGGTTGGGGTTGGACTGGCTCAACTGGAATCAAGGGCCCTTTCCTAATGTGGATGGAGTTCACTGACTGGTCTAGGCTTGGAGATGGAACTCTAAGGAAGAACATGGACTAAGAATGGGAAAAAGTGTGGTTCCCTGGAGGAAAATCAGAGAACCAAATGGCAGTGGTGGCAAAAATAGTACCAGGTCTCAAAGAGGGTAACTGTGGATGGAGGCCTGATGCAGAAGGGAGGGAATTCAACCAAGCGGTGGTGGATGGAATCCATCGTGGAAAGCAGATGATGAATTTTCATTTCTGAGATGGAGAGAAGGAGACGATAATAAAGGATTATTCATAAACCATTTGACATGTAAGAGGGGGAGCTGAGGGTGCAATTGTTACTAAATAGCCTCAATTTTCCAATAAAAACTCAAGAGAGGGAATAGTGAGGTTTTTTTGAAAAATTATTTAAAACTACTACACCAATTAGAGCAAATATATAAAAGCAAATAGAAGCTGAAAATCAAATTTTACAGTTGGCATATCAAATGCTTTCCTTCTTTATATTGCAGACATAATCTTTACAAGGTTTAAGCCTAAATTTTTTTATGTTACATAGGCTCTTCATAACACTTTTTAATTGTATACTCTTTTATAGAGTAGATACATCATAAATCACTTAGCCATTCTGCTAAAGACATTTAGCTTATTTCCGTATTTTATTAGAAGTACTGCTACAATTACTATTCATTTAGCTGTTTATTTTTCCTTGAGGTATTTCTGTAGCAGAAGTTCCCAAGAGTGGGATAGTTGTGTGAAAGGGAATGAACAGTTTGTTCCTGTTAAGTGTTTCAAGATCACCCTTCTTAAGGTATGTACAGGTGTCAATTGCTAGTTTCAGCACAGATCAAAGAATTTTAGACATTCTGTTTCATTAACATCTTTAAGTTAACTATCATAACTTACTGAGGACTTAGTGTGTGTCAGGATGGGTGACTAATTAACTTCAGTCATGCTAATTCATTTAATTCTCACAACAAGCCTGTGAGGGGGGAAAACTTACTATGATCCATGCTTTTAAGTGTAGGGATACTTAGATACAAAGAGGTTATTAAATAAAATGCTAAGAAGTAGGAGAAGTGGCATTCAAACCACAGAAATCTGAATCTAGAACCTGTGTGCTCCACCACCAGGCTATATTGCCTGCGATCATTTTACTTAGCATTTCCCCAAGTGTTATTAACAACTTGTATACACTTGTGTGAGACTTTCATCATGTCCTTCCTTGTAAAATTTTTTTTGATGATTCTTCCCAGATAGGAATAATAGTGGTATATTTCTTATGGATTTGGATACCTCAATGGTCTAAATGAAGAGATTTATTATATTTCATTTATTTTGTTTTTACCCCTTGCTAATATGTCAAGTTCAGAAACTAAGAACTACAACGTTAGGTAGTTGTTTATCCATCCAGGATACCTCAGACCTTTGTTTTAGATTCTGATGGTTCTACAATCTATTCAACTCTGCCAGTTACCATGGAAACATACCTTATGGGCTTGCTTGAACATCTGAAATGTGGGTATTGCTTTAATGTGGTAAGTCTGAGCCAACTCCTGGGAAAGAAAATAAATGGCATGAAGTCACAAATTTGGTACCCTCTCTGTACCATGTATAGTACTAGGGGACTTTTTGGAAGGTATGTCTAAAAGCCCAGGGATAGCTAACCCTTTATAGATTCTCCTGCTATGAGCTTTTCTAACATATCCTCAAAGCCCCCAGGAAGGTTACAATACCGAACAACTGTTCCTAGCTTTCCAGAGCTTTCTCATCCCAGAGCTCTGGGAGAGGGGTGTGAGATTGAGGCCAAAAGAGAATGGATACTGACCGGTTAAATGAGCTTGTGAAAGATTGCAGATGGTCCCTGGTGGCACCCAATATGGAGAGAGCATATTGCAAAAAATATGATAGAGTAAAGGCATCTTTATATCTGACTTGAGATATGGGATGCTATAATGGTCTTACATTTTCAGTAAGGTTTATGTTTCTCTTTTAAGCCCTACTCTTCCTTACTGCCCATCTTTGTGAAAGATGGGTCAAAAGACAAGAAAATAAGTCAGAATTCCAATAGTTTTACTCCATTACAATTTGCTTTCAAATGTCAGTTTTTGTTTGTCTTGTGTAGGAGTCAAAAGAAAGCCACTTACAGGATCAACAGAATTGGACTTTCTAAAAATTTCCAAAAATCTTTCCATAAACCTGTCATGTTATGTTAGTAAATCTCTCCTCTGACAGCTATAAAACACACATACACACAGTTATAGTTTTCATGACCACAGTGATGACAACTAATAAATAAATTACTATTAAAGAAAAGTGTGCATTTTGTTTTACCTTAAAAGACAAAGAGCTCTAATCAAAAAGGCAAAAAATAACATGCATTGGTGTGGACATGGAGAAATCAGAACCCTCACACATTGCTGATGGGAATGTAAAATGGTGCAGCTGCCTTGGAAAACAGTTCGTCAGTTCCTCAGAAAGTTAAAGAGTTACCATATGACCCAATGATTCCATTCCTAAATATACACCCAAGATAAATGAAAATACAAACATGTTTATGCCAGTATTATTCATAATTGTTGAACAGTTCAAACAACTCAATGTCCATCAATGGTTGAATGGATAAGTAAAATGTGGTATATCCATACAATGGAATATTATTCAGCAATAAGAAAGAATGAAGTACTGATACATGCTATGACATAGATGAACTGGGAAAACTTATGCTAACTAAAAGAAACCAGTCACAAACTACCATGTATTGTATGATTACATTTATATGAAATGTTCAGAATAAGCAAATCTATAGACAGAATGCAGGCTTATGGTTGCTTGGGTTGGGGGTGGGTGATGGGAGGAACTGGAGATGACTGCTAAAACTCCAAAAAAATTTTTTTTAATGATGAAAATACTCTAAAATTGCTTGTAGGGATGGTTGCATAGCTCTGTGAATATAAAAAAAGACAAAAGAGATAATGATCCTAGCTATGTATTCTGAATGCCTAATATATGATTCAGCTTAAAGGTCAATTAAACACTGTCCAGTTTAATGAAGCTAGAAGGAAATGGAGAAATGAAAATTCTTATTATGTTCTGGGCACTATGTCATATATTTTATGTATTTTATCTCATTTCATGTTCTGTTAAGTATAATTATCTTACAGATGAAGAAACTGAAGTTTATCAAGGTTAACTAAAAATAGGTCACAAAACTATCAAAGGGCAGAACAGATGAATAACAGATTTTTGTTATTCTAAATTTCAAACTCAATCTAACTATGTATGGGCCACTTGTTATTGTTACTTTTCCTCATTTTGAATGAACAAATGTTAAAAAGAATAATTTTGTAGACACATTGTACTAATAAGGTACATTTGGATGGAATACATGAGGCTGATTATTTTGGGGGTGGGATGAGAAAGGAAGGCTCTAGGGTCATGAGGGGAGAATTTTCTGGAATTCCTTGTGATTTTCAAAAAAACCTACAAAAAGCATAAAATGTAGCAAGAGGAATAGGCTTTAGAAATTGATTAATAATCTATTACAGGGATGAAAATAACTTTTTGCTTTGAGCTCAACTCCAACCAACTAGTAGTGTTTGCCTAGAGCAACTTTGCTGAGTAGGATTCTTGGGCAGAGCTCAAGGCAAGTGGTAAAAAGTGTTGGGATTGATAGGGAAGTTGGCCACAGTACGGGAAGGAAGGGGGCAGCAGGAGAGCCACTTATTTGCTGGTTTATTTTTTTTTAAATTAATACAAAACATACAAGAGCATTATGAGGGAGTTCACTACAGTTTATCAGAAAAAAATTGTGAAATTCTCCTTCACTTTAAATTGATAATCACTGAGACAGTGTTCTCAATGACATTGTATTTGATTTTATGTATCCACATGGAAAGATTGAAGATTCTTACCTGAGAATAGTCCACATCCACATTAGCAAACATTACATTTTGGTATTGCAGAGACATTGCCTTCAAAATAAAAGAATAAAAATTCCCTATTAGCTTAATGTTAATGTTAAATTACACAGTAGAAATGCCCTTTGGCAAAAATAAGAAATGAACAACAGGTTTCCCAAGAGAGTGAAGCATCATTCTGTCATTTTATGCCTGCCTAGAGCTTGAAGCACCAAAGTCAAATGTCGGGTGTTGCCAAGGTCAAGCAAAGATCAATAGCAGGACCAGAGTCTAGGGAGCTAAACTGAGTATCAGAGTTTCAAAGTTAGAAAAGGATATAAAAGCAAAGGAATAGTGAGATGTATGTGGTCGGCACAGATGTACCCTGTGGGGTGGAGGGAGAGACAGCAGCTTTTTCCTTTGGTGTGGTGTCTGCCTTCAGTGGTCTTCAATACACATCTCTGGGTCATACCCAAATGGCCTTTACCATCTCCTCTTGCCAGGCTTTTTGGGAGATGGTGGTGCCGGTGATGCTAGAAGGCTCTTATGGCTGAGGTGACATAAAGATACTTGTGCTGACTCTTAGCCCCATTGCTTTCTGCCCCATTGCCATCATTCTGTGTTCTACTGGGTACTGAAGCAAGATTTCCCAGAATCCTTTGCTGTCCTCCAGTTGGGTTCTGCCAATGGGAAGCACTTGCAGGACAATGGAAGGTGGGAGGACAGAAGAAGTAACTCTTTTCTGCTTCTGTTTTGTTCTGGAAGCCCCTTTGGCAGCAGCAGCGACCAAGGTGTGGGTGATGGGTCTGGGGGTGAGAGATGCAGCAACAGCCTGTAAAATGTCAGCTCTTGGGTTTTGTTTTTTCAGACAGCTGTGTTCATACTTTAAGGACACTTAATAGCATCTTGATTTCTTTGCTTTAATATCATACCTCAAGCATTTCCAGTGATCTCTTTCAAAAGGGACCTCTCTGACAGTGGTGTGAGGTGTCCAGAGCTTGCCCAGATAGAGACAGTAACAGGTGGCACTCTCCCTGGGGGCTGTTCCCATGGAGAAGCGTGAAGAAGCATGACTGGGTGACAAGGTGGATACGTGCAGAGTTTTGTTATAGGGACTCTCTCTGGCTGTTTGTCCATGGGTTGCAACTGAAGTGGGGATTCTTTCTTCATTGGCCCATTAAGATGGTGAAATTGGGGAAAAACTCTTTAATAAAAGACACAAAGGCCTTTAGAGTTTCAGAGCACTTTTCAGATTAAAAAAAAGGTGCTGATTACCTGGTAGGAAAATGGTGTTGTTCAAGAACTCTAGGGCAATTGACTTGAACTTTTCAAGTTTGAAGATGTATGGATGTTCCCTAGTAGGAGTCATAGGAATGGGTTTGACCTGCATAGACATCTAATTCCTAGGGTCAGTCTATTTATGAAGTTTCAGAGCCTCCCAAATCTGTTAGGAAATGGACGGGGATACAGCAGTTGTCATTTCTGTATCAAGTAGTAGCCAGAAGACTTGGTAGAGAGATGGGTCCCTTGATAGTTTGGGGTTTCCTTACAGACACTGCCTCCCTCATTACCCCACTCCATCCACCGAGGCTCCTCAATCCCCCATCTTCCTTCTGCTCTGTTCTTCCTCGTGCATACTATGCTCCTGTTTGGTCACCTATTCTGTTGATCTTAACTCTAAAATGTCTCCTCAATTTAATCTTTCTTTTTTATCTAAAAACCGCAGCCCTAGTTTTGGCATACCTGTTATTCATTGTTGTCCACCCTGGGTAACTTGCCTTCGTTCTTTCTAACCCATCCTTATACAATATTGCCAAAAGTAATTTTCCAAAACTCACATTTGATCATGGCTAACCCATTTTAAAATTCTTCTATTTTGGCTTTCTATATCCACTCATTAAGTTCTAGCACAAGCTCCTTCTTGATCTGGCCCCAACTTTCTTTTCAAAGCTCATTTGTTGTGACTTCCATTGTGCATACTATACATTAGCCTCACAGACCTACTTGTGTTCCTGTGATCACACCATGCAATTTCCCAACACATTTATAACCTCTCCTTTCCTAGAAATGCTCTTTTCAGGGCTCTATGCCTGGTGATCCTCTTAACCCAAGGTCAGCACCTTCTAGATTAAATCCAGCTCCCCACATGGTCTTGTAAATAAAGTTTTATTGGAACACAGTTTGCTTGTGCTTTGCTGTGTCTGTATTGCCATTGGCTGCCCTTGTGCTACAACAGGAAAGCAAGTGGTTATTATAAAGACCATATGGCCAGCAAACCTGAAAGTACTGACTATCTGATCCTTTACAGAAAAGTTTTCTGACTCTTGTTCTTAGTCACCAAGGCCCAGATCAAATGGGACTATGGAGTTTACTCAAGGCAATTTTAAGTTACTTCTCAGCATGTACAGTTTCTTATGATTCACTTCTTTCCTTGTAACACATCCTTTAGCAGAGACTCCATGGGTAGTAAACTTTTAGTTTTTGTATGTCTTGAGTTCTTGCCCCACCTTGAATAATGGTTTAGCTAGCCAGCCTCCATTCCACCTTCTTGCAGAACCGAGAAAGGAAAAAAAAAAAAAAAGGGTGGATTCCTTGGACTCCCTTGCAGCTAGAGTTCTAGATGCAAATTGATTTTATCAATGAGATGCATGCCAGTCAGACTTGGAAGGCAGCAGTGAGAAGCTACTTTCTTTTTGTTTTTGGATGTTCCTGTTGGAAAGCAAGACTGTGGATACTGGAAGGCAGCTGCATTGGAGGCTGTAGCTGCAGCAGCCGTACTAGGCCCAGTCCAGTGGCCAGGCATCAGCTTCCTGGATTCTCAGAGCAGGGGGTGCAGCAGTTACTTCTGGGCTCCAGTTCTGATCCCCCGACTGAGACTGCAGCTCTGTTGGTGGGTGGGTGGTTTGTGGTTCCAGTAGTGTTCGCTGGTTCACCCTTACTTCTGATTACAGCAAAGTTAGAGGCCCCAGAGGGTCTGTGGTGTTCTGAGTCATTCATGGAGCTCCAGTCCAGAGCCTATTCAACCAGTCTCCCAATGACTTCATTTGCATTTAATTCCTTGCATGAAAACCCTTTTCTGTCTAATTTGGCCTCTGTTTCCTGCTTTGATCTCTAACTGATAAAGTGACCTAGAGAAAGGAGAGCCTTTTCTCTAACTCCCTTATGTACTATGAGTTTAAAAAAATTACACACATGATAATGAATACGTTGTGTTGCAAAAGTTCAGACATTACAGGAAAAGAAAATAAAGCAAAACAAGAAATTCGTAATCCTCTCCCAATTTTCATTCTCTTTCACAGAAAAAAAAACTTGTTGCATACGTATCCTTCTGCTTCCTTTTGTCTATATATAATAAATATGTCTGTATTTACGTATATATACACATGTACATATATATTCACACATACACATATATGTCTGTTTTACATAAATGGGACCATACCACATACATTTTTCTGCACTGTACTCTTTTTACTTAATACTTAAATGTTATCTTGGAGACAATCCCATCATTACATACGAGTCTACTTGATTCTTTTAACATCTGAATAGTACTTCACAGTGTGGATGCAAAAAAATTTATTTAAAAATTATGTTTGTATTAATCTGGATGCCAACAGAAAACAGATGGCACATTCAAATTAGTATAATCTGGGGAGGTTTATCTCCAGAGAGCTAACTGTAACTAACCTAGAGGTAAGGATGGGTGTAGGAGTAGCTGCAGGAGCCTGGGTATAACTGGCTGAGCTCTTACCACCTTCAAGAACTGAAGGTATGAAGGAAAGGAGAGGGTATCAAACCTTAGATTTCATTGCACTTTATGAAAATGCCTCTTGTTGGCTCTTGGCATTTGACCAGCTTTGACTGTGGCGTATGAGTGTATTTATACTCCCAAAGCCAAATATTGTATACTCAAAATTTTGAGTGTCAGATTTGAGGGGCCCATCAGATATTAAAAATGTTCCCTTTGGATATTAAAAGAATTTTAGGCATAATTGGATGTTGAGATGTCATGTAGCCAATTTCTCTATTTAGATATAGGTTTATTTTTAATTAAATGGCAAAGGTTGTAACTGTGGTTAGAATGAATTAAAGTGGACTCAAGCATTCTAGTCAAAAAAGTTGAAATGTGAGAAACCTCATTGAAAATAGAGTGTTCTCAGTTGGGTTGAGAAATCAAAACTTCTTTATATTTGAAAGAATAGGTTTCACAAAATTGACCTTACATGTGCACAAAAGGAGAAATGAAAAGAAAATACCCTGAGGTTCTTTCTGCAGCATGTTATATGAGAAACAACAAATAAAATGGTGAATACTTTTAAATGGGCAATAGGGAAATAAGCTAGATGAAACATTGTACAGACATTAAAATTATAATCTGGAGAATCTATACAAAACATGAACCGTCGTGAATGTGGGGAAAATATCTAATTATAAATATATTATAACAATTAAGTAAAATATTTTATTAAAATATTTTATAAAGTATATCAGACATGAAAGGAATATGCAAAACATATGGTTTGTTCTGATGACAGGATTGAAGGATTGGGGGCACTTTTTAATTCTCTAGTATAGTTAAAAACCAAGTATCATGTTTATCGGTAACTTAGTCCAATATTTGGAAATTCTGAACACTGTAACTTTGGTTAAATGTCATATTATGAATAATCCATTCATTTGTACAATTGTTCTCTTTTGCACATCTTGATGCTCCCTGCAGAATTATCGATAGAAAAATAGTATTAATTTTCTGATATGTGTGCCAATGATCTAATTAGATTCTGGTATATTATCTTCAGGTTAATCAGGATGCTTCAAAAAAATTATGATTCCATAATGGCTCCTAAGTGCCAGACTTTTGAGGTTCACTGGAAACATGATTTGGGGACTTTAAATTCCTTCTAAAACTGAAACTGATACTGATGATACTTACCTGTACAAGAGGACAAATCTTTTTACAAGGACCACACCATTTTGCTGAAAATTCAACCACTGCAAGCTTGCATCCAGCAGCTTTCAAAAATGCTTTGAATTCATCCTGAGACCAGAACATAAATGAGGAAACATGCACAATCACTTAATCTCATAAAGTTTTGCAGAGAATAAAGCGATAGTTTAGTTCTTAAAAACCTGAACGACCTGTCCCACCCTATTGTTCTGCAGGTGACCCAACCTTTCCTAAACGTCCCTGGGGTCATACATATTTATCTTTGTAAGTATGCGAAAGTGATGATAAATCCACAAAATATGATTAGGAGTCTAGGCACCAAATGGCAGTTGGTAATGGCTGATCACCTCTGGGGAGAAATCAAGATTGGCCAGTCAGAATGAGGGGTGGAGGGTCAGGGGTGAATGGTGGACATCTATATTTGATTTTTTTAAAACAATGCATAGACATGCATTAATAGTGAACTTTAAAAGGAGAAGAACTAATCTAACAGATTGAATCATTTCTTGTTTTTGTTTTATTTTGGGGGTTGATCATTATTAAAGCCATAGTAAAAACCATCCATTTAAGGATTTGACATGCTTCTTACTGAGTGTCCTAAGTGAATTTTTCACTGTCCATATCACTTAAGTTAGAACCTCAGATCACTGTCTCTAAAGTTGCTTGCTTCATAACAGTGAGTGTCCTACTCTAGTTATTTCTTGTATGGCTTATCTTCCCAACCAGTCCCTACAGAACTCAATCCTGATTCACTCCTGTACCTCTGTGGTCCTTAGCTGACATGTAATAAGTGCCAACAGAGTGCTTTGCAGAGTGCAGGAATGATTTGCTAATATATAGTGTTCTGCTGGAGATTTATTTTTCCTCTTCTCACTGGTATTGCAGCAGTAGTAGCTAATTTACCCTGTGCCTTGTATTTTCTCTTTTATTCATTACAGCCATCCTAAGGACTGGGTATTATCTCCATTTTACAGGAGAAATAGGTAAAGGGGATCAAGAGGTACAAATTTCCAGTTATAAAATAAATAAATTGTGAGGATGAAAAGGACAGCATAGGGAATACAGTCAATGATAGTGTAATCACTTTGTTTGGTGACAGATGGTAATCACATTTCTTGTGGGTGAGCATTTTGTAATGTATAGAAATGCTGAATCACCTGAAATTTAGGTGATTGTTGTATACACTTGAAACTAATAGTATGTCAATTATATTTCAGTAAAAAAATAAAATGAAAGCTGATTAACTTTCTCATGCTTGACCAGCTAGCGAGTGTTATCATTGGGATTACTAATCTAGGCATCCTCACTCGAGAGTCCATTTCCTTCACCACCCCACATAATCATCTGGCGAGATCTTCATAGTAAGGGGGTTTCCCTCCCTCTCACCGGCCCTAATTGCATCTTGTGCCTATCCCTGGATCAGTCATTAAGATGGGGGGATGGGATCACTAATTGAACTAAGTCAAGAAGGACGTATCACTGGAATAAGGGATGGAGCTAATTCCATACAAATGGCACACTGTTCTGGAATAGGGGAGTTCTGACAGTTATGTTACCATTTCAATTAGTTTCAGGCAGGTGAAACTGAAGACTCAAAGAAGACATGCACTCTTCCTTTACCCATATTCCTCAAGGGGTATATTAACTTTACAGGACAGGGGTAATTAACTTTGCAGAAAGCCATGCCAAGCCATCATTGCTCACTTGCTTCTGAAGTTGTAAGGCAGATGCCATCCTCACAAGCCCCCACTGCCCTCCACTTCTCGGTAGTTACTAGGTGTAAATTGGTCTAGCTGGACCCATGAATTTGACTTGGCTAGGTTCTCTGAAGGCAATGCCCCACAATATACATACTGACTCCACATACACCTATTGAGGCCTGCTCTACGCCAGGTCCTGGACATGCTGCTGGGGTTCAGCTATGGGCAGAAACCAGACACAGATTTCCCTGCCTTCATGGAGCTTACATTTAGAGGGGGAAGCTGATGGTAAGATCCACAGGTAAACTATATGGTGTGTTCATGATCACTGTCAGTAAAGAAAGAAGGAGAAGAATGAAGTAGGGAGGATGCAAGCTGGATCACAATTGTGGTCTGGGTGGCCAAGGCCCCATGTCAAAGAGGAGGTAACTTCTGAAGGAGACAGCAGGCCCTCAGGAGAGGTCTCTGAAGAGGAGATGGAGGGCTACTCCATAAGATTCCCTGAAAATTACAAACAAAACTGCCAAAAACATTAGCAAATGTGGGCTATTTTAAAACATTTTTTTATATCAAAGTTACATGGCAATGCCTTCTTGCAATCTGGTCAGTCTCATGTTGTGGCCTTATGTATAGCTGTATCTTGGGGAAAAAATGTAAGTCTGAAGGTGTTGGTGGATGGAAGGCCCAGGTCCTATGCCTTCCCCCTTCCTTCCAATTCTTCCCTCCTATGAGATGAGGCCTGGCAACAGAATATCTGAATTCTAGTTCCCACTCCACCTTTAAATGATGTAGAACCTTAACCACAGAGGCAATTTTCTTCTTTAAAAATGAAGACTATCCCCGGCCTGTATATGTATTTAGATTTGTTGCGGCAGTAATGTTGGACGATGGATAGAAAGTGGCTTTATAAGCTACCACTGAAGGCCTTGTTGACACTACCGGCTGTGATTGTTCCTGCTCCATCCCATAAGCATGTCTGGGGTCTCTGTTCTCTCTCCTAGGATAAGAGAAATAGGTGGACTCTTTTACTTCCATGGAATTTTCCAGGTACAACTATGGTGGAATTAGTGGGATAAGGTACATAATGGGATATGTCAGGAGCTGACCTGGACCCAGCTAGAGTCAGAGCAAGACATGGGGATTTGTGATCCATGTGCACCCTGGCTGCTCCCCGGACAGCACCATCTCTCAACAAACAACATGAAGAGCAAGAATTTAAAAATCTCCCCTTGCTACAGAGCAACAGGGGAGTACTGGGTGGAGGAAATAATCCTTTAATTAATTATTTAATCACTCAATTAAATAATCCTTGCCAGATCTGTTCTCAAGATAGGTCTCTTTCAAAATAGCCAGTGAAGCCCAATAAATACTTGCCATGTCTTTAATGACGTGCACCGTCATGTCCACCTGGGATCAGCTGATGAAACTCCTATTGACTCAGCTGGTCCCCTGCAGCTGTCTCTCCTTAATTATAGGATCCTAGCTGGAATATAAGGGTAGCTTCTCTATGACATCATTAAACATGACATCTCAGAACCTAGAACTCCAGCACATTTGGAGCTCCTTTCATTTTTATTCCCTGACTACTCAGTCACCACGTGGTCAGCCAAGAATAGCCCAACGGCAGGCCACGTAAGCAGAATCAACACCATCTAGGCTTGATTTTCTATCCCCTATTTCCATGTCCCCCTCTGCCTTCTCCATCCCCTGAAACCCCCAAATGAGAAACAAGCAAGACAATATTAAATAGATGAAACTTATTTTCATTTAGGATTTTGAAGGGATTATTTCGCAGCTGAGAAAAAATATTAAAGCCATAACCCTATAATAATGTTTCCTGTAAATGTGGTTTTATGGGACATAGACTCTCTAAATTTTGTTATTTTGCTGTAATTATTTAAGAAATAATAAAACTTCACTTTAGGAACTGGATCAAGGGTTGGCACACATTTTCTGTAAAGGACTAAAATAATATTTTGGGCTTTGCTGACCATATGTATCTTTGTTGTGTATTCTTTGTTTTTACAATCTTTTGAAAATGTAAAAACTATTCTTAGCTGGTGGGCCTAACAAAAACAAACCTGGCACAGGGCGATTTGTCACTTTTTAGAATTTAATGTCAGAAAAAAAACCCAAACATGGCCATGGCCAATGTTCCTCAAGTCTTCTTGACAGCGACAGCAACAATAAGAAAAAAGTGAGGAATAGCAGAATTCTATAGAAAAACAAACCCAGCAGAATCCTTCTTTCTGGTTTTTCTATACCTCCAGTCAGGTCTCTCAGGAATGAGTTACATTCGTGCCTTTCTGTCTGGTGTTAGATGAAGTGTGAAGTGGGAGTATTTCTCATACAGCCATAGACCAAGTTGGCTTTTGTAGTGGATATTTGTCAGTTGCCTCCCAGCAACCCATTTCCTCTGCTTTTCACCTAAATAATGTCGATTTTTCTGTAGCAAGTTTTTTCTCCTCCATTTTATAGCAGCTATGCTGTCTGAATGGGGTTAATCTAACCATTAGTCCAGGGTTAGACCCTGATTATCTTAATCCAACCAACATCCTATTTTTAGGCAAAGCGTTCATAAAGAGAGAAGCAGCAAGCAAAAGAGAACAATTCCTGGCACATTATGACAGAGGTACTAAAATATTCTCCTACCCTATCTGCAAATAAACAAAATGCTGGCTGGCAGCTATTACAAAACACATGGGAACCCAATCTTTGTTTAAGGCCAATATTGCAGAAAGCAGTAAGGAGACAGTGGAAAGCTGGATTTTGGCAATATCTTAATCCACTGGGTTAAGCATTGCTGGAAATTCAATCTAAATCTGGAATTTTCATTTCCATAAATAGTAAATTCCCTTACAGTTTAAATTGGATTAAGCTTAATCCAATTTATTAAAGGGTTTTCTGATACCTACCTGGAAAACATTCAGATAGCATATTACAGAAATTTCTCCACTTGGGTCCAAAACTGCATGTGTTTGACTTAACATTGCCATTGGTGTTAAAAAAATGTCTCACATAAGGTACACAATAACAGAACAAAATCTAACTTTAGGACTGAGGAATTTAATTTCTGGCCTCCAATATGTTCAGGTTCAAAACATTCCTTAATGCCCTGAAATGACAAGGGAGAGCTTGGAAATAACGTGCGGGTTCACAAATATTATTTTTCTACTTCATGACAATATGAGAGACAACCAACTTGGATAAAATAATTCAGTTTCAAATCTGAGTGCTGCTATTCTGAGATCTTGAGCAAATTATTGTTTCTCTAAGCTTCTACTTCCTCATCTGTGAAATGGGGATGTCTTCCTCATAGGAATACGGTAAGAATTAACAGACATGAAGAAGTCTAGTCAAGTGTATAGCATTCCTACCCAAGCCTGCAAAGGTGTGTATTCTATTCTGGCTTCCAAGTGTATACTTCAGAAAGGGCTTTCTTTCCTCTTAGAGAACAGAAAACAAACAGCAATTCAGTGAGCTCTCTTCTGAGATGGCAGAACTCTGAAAAGGAAAAGCAGCACAGGTTGTAACC